TTAAGAGTGAAATGCAAATACCGCGATGGACTCCGGAGCTTCCCTTCCCAGTCGCTCAGCGTCATACCGTTGCTCGGTTGTCCGATACGCTCCCTGCACAAACTGGTAAAAATGAAGGTGTCACTTCGCCTTCTGCTCGTCGGAGTAGAACTAGCAAGGGTATCATAATTAGGACTGCCTTTACAGTTCTTTTGGGCTTCATCGGGCTCGCCTACTTTTGTCACCGCTCTAGAGGTCTCCTGAAATCGAAGGCACCAGCCATTCGACGTCTGGCTAGCAGTGATGAAGACGAAGTATGCAACGATCTACTTGAGATAATAGGAAAGGGCAGCAAAGAAAAGGGTAGTGCATATCCGAGTTCCCAGGAACTCCTCCACAGCTCAGAACCCGTGACAGGAAGCGCCAGTCGGAAAAGAAAACCTAGCCCGAATGATCGAGGTGAGGAGGCGGAGCACGCAAAGAGGCCTATATTTGGGAGGGGGACGAAGAGTTTGAGTGGAGGTTTGCAGGGTGATTCTGACACGGCAGCGAGCTCGCCTTGGAAAGCACCCTCACCCAACCAGCTTGGTGGCTCCCGTGGGGTATATCAATTATCTGAAGGTTTGAGCAGCCGTCAGAGAGCATCGCCCGAAGATGTGTCTCGAGCAAGTCTCACTGTAACAGAGGATTTTTTCACGGGAGATGACGTGGAACAATGGTTTCTTGACTACATTCTAGATCCATCATCAGGGTCATTGCCAGGAGGCGCCTCAGAGCATTTCAGTGGCACACAGCAATTCACTCCTGCACTGGCGGACGACGCGGTTGACACGATACACCACAGTAGGAATCTAGGGCCCCAACAGCATATCTCGGTAGCTCATGGCCAAGCAAAGGATGATACTCATTCGCTTACTCTGGAGACTCAGCATCTGGAGGGATACGGGAAGCCCTCTGGCGTTTCTACAGATCCAGACAGAGCTTCAGACTCGCTGCAAGAATACCAGTCTTCCTTCGAACATCAACCTTATGGAGCCGTGCATATCCGTAGCCAGGGACCTAATGATGCTAGCAGACCACCCGTCGCCACAACATCTAATATTAACCCTAAAGCAACCCTGGTTACTCCAGAGGATGCGTTTACACAGGTTGAGGGGGTTGATCCTTGGCTTTTCGACTACATTCTAGATTCGCCCCTGTCTTCCCCACCGGCAAGTGGCGTAGGTGATTCCAGAGCAGCACATGAATTGGGAAGTAAGATGCCGGCCAGCCAAGGCCAGCTAGGGCATGAGAGCCCGAGTTCGTTTACTAATGACACTGCGGAAGATGGTACTTATCTGCCTTTTCGGGAGGCGCCGGGTGTACAGATGTACTTGGAACCCCCTACAGTGTCTAGAGGGACAACCATCAGCTCCGGGAAGGTCGGACTGCACGCGGGTTCTGTGGCGGCTAAGCATATTCCTGCATCCAAGGGCATTCCTTTGCAGGTGGGCGCTTACGCCCGATATATTTCGTGTTTCCGCTTCTTCACGGATCCCTGTTTTTCTTTGAGAGGCTTTTCAGGCTGACAAAAGATTCTTTTATATCGTTCCCCGATTGCCAGCTTATTGCCGTAGTGACGAAATCCACGATTATAATTTTCGTTGGACAGTGATTTCGGTTGGCTATCGTGACTTTCTTTTTCGTGGGCTCCTTTATAAAACTTCCATTCCCGGTTGTTTAATTATGTGCATTGTTTGTCTTCAGGCACCACAATTTGTTGGTTCTTCTGCCTTTCCCGACTCGGCTATCGCTCCTCAGGCTTCCCCAAGTGGGTCGTTGCCTCCAAAGAGGCAGGACCAGTGGCTGGGGATCCTGCATAGTTTAGTGAGTCTTATGAGATTATGATCATCGGCACTTGAAGGCACGGTCTAGAAATGCATGGCGTTCAAGTGCACTTCAGGTGTTTTCCATGTGGAAATGTATTTGCTGTGACACTTCTGACCTCCAGGCTGCTTCAGTCTTCATTTGACAGCAGCCGGTAGTTGATTTTCGTACCATTTTGTATCATATCCCTCATCTAATTGCAGCTTGTAGTCAACGCGGTTTTACTATCAGACGCAGTGTGTGCTTTTTCATCTTTGAGAGCCTTCTTGCGGAACCGCGTTTGTGCCCTAACTGTCCGTTTCTGTGTGAGTTGTGTTGCTCTTTGTTCTTCATTTTTCAACCCTCCTCAGGGCCCCACTCCCTTCGAAGCTCATCCATTCTATCGTTTGCCAAAGGCAGAGCCTTCGGACAGACTGATCCCTTTGAGCTTGGCAATGGCCAGGGCGTTTTCCAATCGATGTGCAGTCCCCGAAACGCTTAAGGAAACTCACCAAATACTGCGTAAACCAGAACTGCAGCACAACGATATTCAGGCATTAATATATTTGGCCGAAAAACTGGTTGCAAACGCAACCTTTATGGGTTACTTTTCAGAGAAAACCGCCTCGCCGGGGAAGCTGCGCTTACCTCTTACGCGTCGGTTTCTCATAGCGGATGCACTATGGAGCATTTGCAAAGTCGTTGGTCCGCCCGTGATGAAGGAGCTTTGGTGGGACCAAGCTATAGATAATATGTTGACACTTCCTACTGTTTGCTGTTCCTTTGGGGAAAGCACTACATTACGTTTCGTTAACCGGCTGATCGATGCGCTGCGTGAATACAAGGAAGGACGCCGTCCTTCGGCAAAGGATATAGTCGAGCTCAAGACGGAGATATTCTGCGCCCCCCAAACCCTAGCTGCGTTCCGCGCCAGTGCGTTTGACATATTTAGACGCGATGGCGCCTGCTGACGCCTCGTTGCGCCAATGTCACAGCCGATGCTGCCGCTCCAACAGCAGCCTATGTTTATCCCGAGTGCAGATTGGGGCCACTACTGAGGCCGACAGAGCTTCCCAGGCACCGCATGAACGCAGGATGTCACTATCGCAGTTGAAAAGGGGCTGATGTCCGGCAGCCCATTTTCACCATTAACGGTCGAATCTTGCACTTGAGGAAAAAGCGCCGCATTGCAGCGGAGACTGAAGTGGGAAAACATCTGTTGACAGAAAAGGCATTACGTGGTCACGGATGTAAATACATGTGATACTGTTCGAACAAACTAAATAGATAAGCCACCGAGGCACATGATTCCGGTGTTGCTTGCCGGTTTGCAATCCAGGAGATTGCTTCTAACTGCCGGTTTGTGCACTGTCATTTCCACACGTTTTATATTTAATGTAGGTAGCGAATCCATGTTCGCTACTAAGCCGTTCATGGAGTGGCTCAGGCGCATGAAAGAGGCAATCATAAATGAGTGAAAAAATACTAAGTTAGTATGGGCTTCACTATAGAGGTCACAGAAAAAATTCCACCGTGCGAGGTTTTAGGCAACCAGTGTTACGCAGAAGCTGGATTAGGCACGGGGTATACATTGCAGAGCCGGTATGGCCAGCAAGGTTCCATCAGGTACCTCTGTCTCTTTTTCCGAGATTCCTAGGATAATACGAGGTTCACAACCTACGTCAAGCAGTTTGCATTAATTCAGGCAAAGCCCACCAAGATTTGGTTGAGCTGGTGGAACTGGGTAACGGAGAAAGGCGCAAGTAATCCTCAGGTTCCCAAGTTCTCCTCCAATGCACAGGTTTGACGACGGGACCTGTCTCAGGAAAAATGGAATAAACCTGGCTGGGCGAGGTGAAAAAGCGGAGGGGGCCACGGAATCTGCATTTGAATATGAGCATAATCTGACTGGTGGCTGGAAGGGGCTCTATGAACCTTCAGCAGGCTCGCCTTTGGAGTTCTCTGAGCAGCAGACGACCTACGCCCTGCATTATTATTCTGTACCAATAAGAATGATGAACTATTAACAGTAGGAAAAGGTACCCGAGATACCTGCCAGGAGAGTGGCCAGTAATACGTACGACATATTCCGGAAGTAATACGGCCGGCTGTTTCACAACACAGGGTACCTAGACGAGCAAGTGAAAGATGATTTGCATGCATACAAGAGACGTGGGAACAACGGCAGAATAATTAGTACTGACGTTCCAAACTCCAGCAAAATATAATAATTGCGCCAGCGGGAAAGAAGCAGTTTCTGCTAAAACTGTTGGTGTCTCACAGTGGCTGCATATGAGAAATACCTGGTCCCAAGAAAGTGGAAGAGGCTCCATAGATCTTTTGGATGCTCTGCAGATATTGACAGCAATTTCCCCTGCTCTTGTACCCACTTCCATCCATGCGCGATATTAAGCATCTGCGTCCTCGAACACCTCACGCCCTTAAGCAAGCTGGAACCCGAACACTTCCGCCAGCCTGAGAAACACAGTACAGTTAATGTTTGGTTGATTATGTATGCGTGCTTGTTGATTTGGCATGGTACCAAACAAATCGTTACAGATGAGCGTACCAAAACAACCAATTAATGAACCCCGTCTAGCGGGCTGGCTTCCGTAGGCGAAGCTGCCTCAGTACCATGTTGCACCCCCTCCAGGCATGATCTCAGGTACAGAAATGACTACTTGCAACTGTCACTATAGAGAAACCCATTTCACCCCATGAGCTCAGTGCTCAATCAACTGTAGAAGGCAGCTGCGTTTTTCAATTTAGCTTCCAGGAAAGCCCATGCTATTATTGTCAGGGCGTTTTTTCGTACCCCGAGCCGTTACATCAGACGGATGGTGCACCTTTTTGTAGCTCAGTTGGCCAATAACAGATGCAAAACCCAACACGAACGTCAATACACTGCGTTGGCAAGGGGTCTTTGCCCGAATAATTC